ACTACGTTCCCCTCTGCGACTCGGCTTACGACTGCGACCCCGTTGCTTCGTCGGTCCTTGCCACCGCTGCACCTCTCCCCACTGCTGCCGCCGCGCCTGCCGGTCGTCGTGACGTCGTCGAGGAGCGCTCGCCTTTCCCTGAGGTTACCCAGATCGCACTTCGCCGCTAAACATATTCCTATGATGTAGTCCAGGCGAGCCCTCGTCGCCTGGCTGTCTCTCGTCGTGTTTTGTCATGCTTTCAAAGTGCTTTCCTTGTTCATTGTAATCTTGGGTATTCGGCGTCGTGTAACCTCATTGTTATTAATCAACCTTTATCTTTCCGACGTATGGGCCATCGCCTTGTGTGAACATCCTGCTTGTACGCGGCACTTGAAAGTATTGCTCAACACTCCAAATAGTGATCGGGCGTAGATGGCTCGACATGCCAACATGAAGACGGAGAAAAGAGATCCTATATGCGCATTCGTAACGGAGCAGATGTATGTATGTATATGTATGGTACTTTCTTCTTGTTCGAGAATCGGCGTAAGCAGGATAGCCAGCAAATGAAGGCCACGCGTAAGCGTAAGTAAGATCGATCCACCCGAGCGACGACGACGGTATAATGAGCAAACAAGTTTCGGACAGATACGTATGCGTGGAAGTTGTGGTTGTGATGAGGTAGGAATGAAGCATGCGGAGTGTAGAGTAGATCGGACGTTTACAGACAGCGCGAGAGCAGGCGCCCAGAGGGACATGCACAGCACAAGCAAAGCAACATCGAGCCCGAATCGCCTCTAAACCAGACTCTTCACGAGCATACTCTCCAACCTGCAGTATTCCGGCACGATGGCCGCATACGACATGAACGCATCCACGTCCGGTTCGGCAATCTTCACCAACCCGATCTGCGACTCGGCTTCGCCCGTGGGCAGTGGGGCAACGGGTACGAGCGCACTTGGTGCCTCGCCCTGTCCTGAGCCGAGGCTGGGACTCAACAGCCCGCTTGCAAGATCGGGCGTTGTGAGCGTCGTGCTGGGTCCACCGACTGAGCTTGACGCAGCGCCAGTAGAAGCAGTCGATCCAGTGATGGTCCTCGCACGCGCCGTAAGCTCCGCCAACAGCCCTCCGCTCGCACGCCTCTCCCCGCCTTCTTCCTCGTCTTCCTCTTCTTCAAACACCGTTGCGCCAAAGCCACCCGGCCCCGCGCGCGGTGCTTCGCCAGCGGGTACAAGCACGTTCGTCCGGGGAGGCTTGCCGCCCGAACCCGCCCAACGCTTGCCGAGTAGCCTCTTGACCTCTTCCTCGAAACTTCCGCGTCCAGTCCCACGCTCGCGACCCCACACCCATCTCGCAACGTATGCGCCACCGAGCGCGGCGCGCCCGGGTACACCCGGCGCCGGCGCATTGCGATGCGGTGCCGTTTGTGCGCTATCCAACTGCGTCGCGGGTACGAAGACCGGCGCGTTGAGGACTTCGCCCACGAGCTGCGCGACAGATGCGAAGTTGATGGCCGCGCCCGTGGCAAGAATGCGCCCGGGAAGTGCGGAGGGGTCGTACGGGTCAAACGTGAGTCCCACAGCGCCGGCAGCGCTGACATTCGCGGATATGGGTGCGCCAGATGCAGAGGCGGGTGTGCCAGTCCTAGTAATCTGACCCGGCGCAGGGCTTGCAGATGTACTCGGTACAGCGTTTACGTAGTTTGCATGCGCGCCACGGGCGCGGCCGGCACTGGTGCCGAATACACCTGTAGCCACACTCCGTGCCCAGCGGATGCGGAACGAAAGGACCTGGGATTCGACAAGACACCGGGGATTCGCGCGAAGGTCACGGAATTCGTTCACTTTGACGCCCGTTTCGAAACGGTAGATGCCTTTCACGTGCGGCATCGGGTAGCTGTCACCCTGGAGGAGCCAGAAGCTGAACAGCTTATTGTCAAGCCTGATCGAAGGTGATCAGCAACTACAAGGGATGGAAGAATGGAAGTACATACCCAATTGAGCCGCCTGGTGGGACGACCGCGACAAGACGGTCGAAAGCACTCCAGCTCTTGGTGTACATGTCGCGTACAAGTGCTCGAGGTACATCCGCGTTGCGGCTTGTAAGCATGACGATGTACTTGCGCTTCTCGCCCTGGTCCTGGGCCGGATGCGGGAAGACGTTGAATAGGCGCGTAGGAAGGTAGTGTGGCGCGCTGGTAAGTAGGAAGTCCATGGGACCAAAGGAGAGCACAGCATCAGAAGGCGAGGGCACGAGCGAGAGATATGTTGATAGATAATCCGCGGTGAAAGGTGAGATGATAGTGTCTGCGTATATGTCAGAGAGCCGCCAAGTAGACGTGGCGGAGATAGCTCACCAGGCTCCAGTCCGTAACGTTCTTGCATATATTTTGAGACGGTCGCTATGCGTCTGCCTCCGCCAGAGGAGTCAACGTCGCCGAGCCAGGATCGAACGCGTCGAGCTTCTTCCGGGTTGCCGGCGACGAGTGCGAGAACTTCGTCGTCCCAGTGACCTTTGCCATCGGTGGAATGATGCCAAAGACCAGTTGCACAAGCCTCCGCTTCACTCATGCCGACCCAAGAGCCAGAGAGTAAACTCGCTAGGAACGATGAAGCCATCTGTACCCGACCTGTCCGCGCCCAGACGTCTGGAGAAGACTCGCGTACACGAAGCAATTGAGCGGCAACGAGAGACGGGGTTGAGGCCGTGCCTACACGGTTGGCCATCTGGTCGGGACCACCGAGCGCGGCCTCGAGTTGTAAAGCATGGGAATGGGAGAAAGTGTCTTGAGCAATGGGCGTATTCGCTAGCGAGAATGCCGACGGCGAGAGTTGGGAATGCAATGGAAGGCGCGAGTCGAGAGGCGGGAATGCAGATGCCGGATTCGCCTTCCACCAGACCAAGGCCGACTGGGGAAAAATGCCACGTGTGTGAGCCAGATCACCGGTGCCTCAGCGGAAGCAAACTTTACTGACCTGGGCAGAGCCTCCAATCGCCTTGATCCTCGAGGCGTCATGGTTTGAGCCAACCTTCTCGAGTAGGAAGTCTATTGTAGACGGTCGAGAGGTGCATGCCGAGTGAGGTTGATGGGAAGAGGAAAGTAGGCGGTGACGGCGATTGCGGTAACGAAAGAGCGAACAAGACAAGGAATGTTGAGTACGCGTTTTTGGTTCCGGGAGCGAAGAAAAGTTGAACTCACCGAGAGCCTTCACCCACATATCCACGGGCGTCGTATACGCATCCCCAGGAGTAGTAAATATCCCTCCTTGTGTTCTACATACGCGATAGATCAGTTATCTGTGACAGCTAGGGATGCATGACACTGAGTGAGCGCCTGGGTTGCCCAAACGGGGAATAATGCGCGCGATGCGGCAGAAGAACCACGTAGACGCGTCTAACAGCGCAGAAGCCATGGTAGAGGCACTCACTGGTACTCTGACAGCTCTGTGTCGAAATCCACCGCCTCGACGCCAACTAACTCCAAGTTCTCATCGACGATGGTTGCTCGCAGTTGATCGGTAGCCAACTCAAGGCCCAGAAAGAGTGCGGGCCCGCTCTTGGCCATATTTTGGTTTATTTGAGGGATGTAGCTTGCTTGCTAGGGTATGGAGGTATACGATAGAGTATTTGGGATCGTGAGCCAGCGGACAAGCCGTCGTGCGCGTGGTCGTGACAGTTAGAGCCGGATGAGGGGCGGCAGAGCGCGTCGATGCGGACTGGCGATGGTCTGCGTGCAGAGTCGCGACAACAAGACGGCGCTCGTGCAGGAGAAGAGCTATGTCCTCCCAACGAATAATCGAATCAGACGTCCGCGCGTGTCAGACGCTCCCACGGCGTTTCTTCTCTCCTCGAGGCGTTCCATTCGCCCGAGCGCGCCTCTTTCAGCCCGGCTTCGCTCCATCACCGTGCGTTCTACGTGCGGTTGTACACGATGAGTGCTCTGAGCTCGAAGCGAGAGATGCTGCGGCAGTGAGGCCGCGCCGGTCGTGGTAAGAGACAGACCGGCTTCACAGTTTCAAAGTCAGCTCATAAAATGGAGGGTCCACTCGCCCCGGACTGTGGGATACGTCCGCCGGGCCGCCGGCGCTGTGGCTTTTGTCTTCGACCTCCACCAGCGTAGACACCATTTGCACTACTTTCCGACCCGTCTGTGCCGCACCTGCCGCACGAGAAGCATCCCTGTACATCCCTGATCCGGCGGCCAGCCTCGTGTACCAGTGAGCGGCCACGAGCAGCGGGTATCGCCGCGACAATCAGGCCAGTCGCGACTCCTGCCTCTTGCGAACAAGGCGCATGTACGGTACTGGCAGGCGCCATCTCTGGCCTTCCAGCTTCCAGTTCTAGCGCTATTCCTGCGTGTAGATCATGCTCAAGACGGCGAATGGAAGCGTGTAGGCCCGGCCTTCCACTCCATTTGGTCGTGCCGAGGCACAGAAGCGGAGACGTAAATCTCGCCGGGAAATTGTAGACTGCCTTTGCATGCACGTTCAAAGAGCATGTTCGTCGCCTCGACTGGTGACCGTACCGCTAACCTTCAAGCTCGCAAGATGAAATCCTTCGCCGCGCACTGTTACGGACAGTATGACGCGATGAGTGGCTCTGGGTGCCGAATAAACATTCCCCAGCCTTACAATGGCGCTCTCAACATTAGCCTTGTACGTTGTACCGTCGAGCGGCTGCAGAGCACTCCTCTTGCACCGCAAACCTTTGAGCGTCGCGCCATCGCGCACCGCCAACATGCGTCCACCATTGGCGCAACATGTCAGGCTAACTTTGGTCGTTCCGCTTTCTTGGCAGGCGCCGTCACCATCACGCGTTCCGCGGCACCCCTTGCCCTCGCCAGCATTCTCCCGCTCGACCGCGCCTCGACTTTGCTCATCCAGTACTATCCCTTCTACGATGCGCGTCTCGAAGAGCGGTCTTTACGCCTTAGGCCTTAGGCACTGTCTCTCGCCTCAGACTGATCTAATCGCGCGATCATCTGTCGATCATGGGCAAGACAGCCGGGTGGCGCGCTTGTCTCGCGGTCTTCATTCATCCTGACCGTACGCGTCAGCGTCAGCGGGCCAAGGCGCAATTCCATAACTTTCCACCCCACCTCGCCACCGCGTCGTGCCCCTGCAGGCCTCCAACGTCATCCGTCACTGCCTTCCGGTCCGCTCTCGGTATGGATATAAAGGACTAGTACCGCTGACGGTTGCAGCTCAGCACTCGCCACCACCACCTTCCATCACCACCAACTACTCTACGACTACCATCATGAGCGTTACTCAGAACCCCGAGAACGGCCGCGCTTACGCGCTCATCAACTACAAGGGCGGAACTGCTGCCGACCTCAGCGGTGGCGACAACACCAGCATCATCGGCTACGACTACCACGGCGGCGAGAACCAGCAGGCTCGTCTCTTCCATCCCTGTCCGCCCCATCTAGCCGCCTGCTGACCTGCTCTTGCAGTGGATCTTCGAGCAGCACGACGGTGCATGGCTTCTCCGCAACAAGAGCCAGTACGACAAGACCCTCCAGGTCGCCGGTAACTCGCTCCAGGCGGGCGATGGCGTCATCGCTGTCGAGCACGCCGGCCAGCCAACGCTCTGGGATGTTGAGCCCGCGGACGATAACACCGTCATACTGAAGGTGCACGGCCATGGCTACGTCCTCGACCTCTCCGACCACGGCAACTCAACGCCTGGTACCGCTGTCGCTGTGTACGGCAACTGGGGTGGCGAGAACCAGCGCTGGCGTCTCACTGAGGGTACGTCTTTGCGCTGTGCTTGAGGTTGATATGGGCTGACTTGGGATATGACAGCTTGAACTGTTTCTCGTATCATGAACATGGACTAGTTGCAATGAATGTATAGTAGTGGAATCAGGAATGTAACGCCGGAAATCGTTCAATGTGTGAAGTGAGAGCGTTCAGTGCGAAAATATGGCACGCCCTGCAAGGTTCCGATCTCGAAGCAGTATACAAGTACATATCATGGGACAAGACTACGCAATGTGCCAATGTACTCAGGGCTGAGTGAATACGAGAGGAGAACCGGTAACTCTGGAAGGATACTCGCACTCGAGAGTCCACTTCTGATCTCCGTCGAGCTTGACCCAATCTTCGAAGTGGACTGTGACGAACGTGTTGCGCAGCAACAACAGCAGCTCCTGAAACGTAGACTCATCCCCGCCGCGGCTCATGTCCAGCGGTTCAGTGAACACGATTTCGCGCAATTTGGGAAGATCTGTGTTGCCGTCGCGTATGAGCGAGCAGGACGAGAGAGGGCGAAGGCTGGGGAGCGTCATGCTGTCCAAGTACGGCGACGTCCTCCACATGATGGCAGGTAAAGTCAACGATGGGAGGGTGGATTCGCATATGAGCGACGCTCGGCGCGCGGTATCTGGTAACAGGTCGGACAGGGCGGAAGGGTTGGGGGGTAGGCCGCAAGAGATCTTGATGCTCTCCGACGTGGACACAGACAGTCGAATGGGCGATCCTTCCTCTGCTCGTGTCTTGAAGTGGATATGAAGATCTTCATGGAGAGCGCTCGCGCGCACGTGTCTCGCCAGAAGGGGGACGAGTAAAGCGTAACTCTGGTCCGCGCTGAGGCGGGGAGTCGTGAACCATGCCGGATATGGGCGAGAGTCGAGACATAAGACATCCAGCGACGGATGTGTATGCGGAGGTATATCAATGAGAGTGAGATATACGACCAGCCAATCTATTTCGGCGATGAGGTGCAGGGTTTTCAGGTGTGGCAAGGTGACAGGTTCAATGGCCGAGGATGTTATAAGCTGGTACACGTCGGTATTGACCGTGAATGATATAAGGGCAAGCTCCTCTAGGAGAGGAAAGGAAGATAGCAGATTTCTGAGATGGTCAAAGGTCCATCCGTCGAAGATTGTGAATTCCAATCGCAGCGCCACTAGGTTCGGCGGGAAGATGAAGTCTATAGAGAAGAGACACTTTGTGAGCCGTAGGTAACGGACTTGAGACGGAGCGAGGAAAGTGATATCTTCTGATTCAATGAGCGACGCGAGAGATAACGAAAAACTCTGGGCATTGATTGGTGGTCGATTGCGCATGGCGTTGAGAACGGCGCGTTGGAAGTCGAAATCCGGCATTGTCCCGCCCACGAACCTCTGCCTGATGTCCAGAGAGTACGATCTCTCGCATTGGTTCATCGCGGCGTATATCGGCTCTCGGTGGAAGTGCTCAACAGGATCAGGGAAGTGGATGGTGATGGGGCATGGATTCGATAAACGGAGGGCGAGTTCTGTCCACTGAGTGGTGCGGAGAGGTATGAGCGTCCACAGATCGGCGTATGCAGTAGAGACTTCGCGCCACTTGTGGCATACACGAAGTACGACAGCCCATGGCGGTACCGGTGTGTGAATATCGTCGAATAGACGCGGAAGATGCCAAAAGATCTGCGACAGGATCTCGGGAGGCAGGTTATCGATACTAGCAGACTTTAGGACAGAGGTGGCTGCGTCTGTGGGTTCTTCGTACCCTTCTGACATGGGAGTATGAGGATTGGCTGGGATGTGGAAGAATGCCGACGGCTTTGGGAGTACCGGGACGCGGTGATGGTGAGAGTCAAGTTATTCCTGCGCGCTTGAGCGTTTCGTCGCCCGCGCGACTTGGACTGGAACCGCCATAACGATCATCATCATCATACGCACACTGTCGCTTTGTATGTGCTCTTCTCTCGAATACGCGTATATTTCAACGATCAGTTGACGTTCTACAAGTTCAGTGAGAACCGCGGAGCTCACTGCTGCGTACTATAATCAACTCTCATCAATGGGCGCTTAATGGTGCTCTCCTGGACCCATGTTCGACTTAAACTATCAGCAGGTCTACATGCTGTGGCGCCTGATTCCCAGCTCCCTATTCCCTATCGGAGCGGACACTTGCTGATATGTACATGTCGGACATAGCATATCGGCTCTGCCGCCCGCTGGCCGACGGACCCGCCGGCTGCAGCACAATTCTTCCGCTAATCTTAGTCGGTACCTGAAGAGGGACACCCGTCCGTGATGCTAAAAAATGAAGATAAGAATGGGATCAGACGGGTTTGA